GGTTGGACATGGGGTTGGCGACCCCATTCCGTCAAAAACTAACTTGCCAAAAAAACGCTAACCAGAAAAAATAATTCAAACCATTTTAACTCTGCCCTGGGAGTTGGAGGAAGAATTATGACGTCGCGTGATGAAAGCCGAGTTCCCTCGGAAGTCACGGGGCTGATGCCTCTTCTGACAACCAGAGCAACCATTTTTTTAGGTACATGGAACGTTCGTACATTGTGGGAGACTGGAAGACTATTTCAAGTTGCGGCAGAAATGAAAAGATACAACCTCGAGGTGCTCGGCATCAGTGAAACGCATTGGACACAAGTAGGACAACTGAGACTAGCTTCAGGGGAACTGCTGTTATACTCTGGTCATGAAGAGTAAAATGCTTCACATACACAAGGAGTTGCACTGATGCTGTCCAAACATGCACAAAAGGCACTGATATGGTGGGAATCTCATGGACCAAGGATCATTAAAGCATCCTTCAAAACAAAGAAAGAGGACATTACAATGAACGTCATCCAATGTTATGCACCTACCAATGACTACAATGACGACGTTAAAGATCAATTCTACGAAAGGCTGCAGTCAGTCGTCGAAAAATGTTCACCAAAGGATTTGACGATTCTTATGGGAGATCTGAATGCCAAGGTTGGAATGGACAACACTGGATATGAAGACATCATGGGACGACATGGACTGGGAGAAAGAAACAAAAATGGTGAGAGATTTGCAAACCTATGTGCCTTCAACAAACTGGTCATCGGTGGCACAATATTCCCGCACAAACGCATACACAAAGCTACATGGATTTCACCGGATCACACTACTCAAAACCAGATTGATCATATCTGTATCAACAAAACGTTCAGAAGGACTATGGAGGATGTGAGAACCAGGAGAGGAGCTGATGTAGCCTCAGATCACCATTTGCTAATCGCCAAAATGAAACTGAAACTAAAGAAGCACTGGACAACGGGGCAGACAACATCACACAAGTTTAATACGGCCTTTCTTCGGGATACTGTAAAGCTCAACGAATTCAAGATAGCCCTCACCAATAGGTTCCAGGCCTTTCAGATCTACACAATGGAGAGGACGCAACATTGGAGAACAATTGGAAAGGGATTAAGGAGGCAATCACTTCAACATGTCACGAAGTTCTGGGTCACAAGAAGTACCATCACAAGGAATGGATCTCTGTTGGTACTCTTGCAAAAATTGAAGAAAGGAGGAACAAGAAGGCAGCAATCAATGTCAGCCGAACAAGAGCAGAGAAAGTTACCGCACAAGCTGCATACACAGAAGCAAACAGGGAAGTGAAGAAGAGCATCAGAGCTGACAAACGAAAATATGTGGAAGATCTAGCAATGACGGCGGAAAAGGCTGCAAGAGAAGGAAACTTGAGACAATTGTACGAAACTACAAAGAAGCTCGCCGGAAACTATCGTAAACCAGAACGACCAGTGAAAAGCAAGGAAGACAAAGTAATCAGCAACACTGAACAACAGCGAAATAGGTGGGTAGAGCACTTTAAGGAACTCTTGAATCGACCAGCTCCACTGAACACACCCAACATCGAAGCAGCATCCACGGATCTCCCAATTAATATTGGCGCACCTACGATTGAGGAGATCAGTATGGCCATCAGACAAATCAAGAGCGGCAAAGCAGCAGGACCAGACAACATTCCGGCAGAGGCAATGGAAGCAGATGTAGAAGCAACAGCGAAAATATTTCACATCCTCTTCAAGAAGATTTGGGATGAGGAACAAGTACCATCAGATTGGAAAGACGGATACCTGATCAAAATACAAAAGAAAGGCGATCTCAGCAAGTGTGAGAACTACAGAGGCATCACTCTTCTTTCAATACCAGGTAAAGTATTCAACAAGGTATTGTTAAACAGACGCCCAACTTCGAGATCAGCAGGCCGGATTTCGTAAGGACCGATCGTGTACTGACCAAATTGCTACATTACGGATCATTGTGGAACAATCAATTGAATGAAACTCACCACTCTACATCAACTTCATCGACTACGAGAAGGCATTCGATAGCGTGGATAGGAAAACACTGTGGAGGCTTCTTCGACACTACGGTGTGCCTGAGAAAATAGTTAACATCATACGGAATTCTTATGATGGATTCAACTTCAAAATCGTACACGAAGGACAGCTAACAGACTTCTTTGAGGTGAAGACTGGTGTCAGGCAAGGTTGCTTACTCTCACCCTTTCTCTTTCTCCTGGTCATCGACTGGATTATGAAAACGTCAACATCTGGAGGGAAGCACGGTATCAACTGGACGATCTGGACTTCGCAGATGACCTGGCTCTTCTATTTCACACGCAACAACAAATGAAAGAGAGGACCATCAGTGTAGCAGAAGCCTCTGCAGCAGTAGGTCTCAACATACATAAAGGAAAGAGCAAAATTCTCCGATGCAACACAACATGCACCAACTAAATCACTCTTGATGGAAATGCCTTGGAGAACGTTAACACCTATACATATCTGGGCAGCATCATCGACAACCAAGGTGGATCCGACGCATGTGTGAGGGCGCGGATCGGCAAAGCAATGGCTGCATTTCTACAATTGAGAAATATCTGGAACTCCAAACAACTTTCAAACAAAACCAAAATCAGGATTTTCAATACAAATGTCAAGACAGTTCTACTGTATGGAGCGGAAACATGGGGAACTACCAAAGCCATCATCCAGAAGATACAAGTGTTTATTGACAGTTGTCTACGCAAAATACTTCGTATTCGTTGGCCAGACACCATCAGCAACAACGTACTGTGGGAGAGAACAAGTCAGATTCCAGTGGAGGAGGAAATCAGGAAGAAGCGGTGGAAGTGGATAGGACACACACTACGAAAAGCACCTGACTGCGTCACGAGACAAGCCCTCACATGGAACCCTCAAGGCAAAAGGAAGAGAGGAAGGCCAAAGAATACATTACGCTGAGAAATAGAGAAAGATATGAGAGGAATGAACAAACATTGGACAGAACTGGAGAGGGAAGCCCAGGACAGAGTTGGTTGGAGAAAACTGGTGGGCGGCCTATGCTCCATTGGGGGTAACAGGCGTAAGTAAGTAAGTAAGTAATCATCAGGCTCATAAGTTATATATATCAAGTGAGAATATAAGCATCGGACAATACACAATAAACTATTTGACCTTTTTAAGAACCTGGGACACTGTAATGCTTTTAAATTCCCCTCCATGAAGCGAAGAGACCAATCGTAGTGACCGTAATATATAATGATTCCATGATTAGAAGTGAACTGTTATTCATTTGATAATTAACAAGGTGATCACCCTTAAACGTTTGTCATTGCCACTTATTTAGTATCTATTTAAGAGGTGTTTAAATTCTTTAGCCTAATGATGTCGAAGCCGTTCAGAACATAAGTGACGAGGGTATGGATTCGACGTCGGTAAATATTTTACTGCATTGAATATGAGTTCACTGCTCATCTGGTACAGTTCTGCAGCACGTTGAATTCATAGAGGAATATGTACAGTAAAGCTAGTAAGGCCACTGTCAATTTCAACTACAGTCGATGTTTATGTTTGTATCTCGTAAACGATGGCTAAATCCATCGACTTTGTTCATTGTCAGCGTATGCGTGCGGGGGAGTTTCCAAGAGAGTTATTTGGGCTTTGCGAAGCCACAACCTTCTTAACATTTACGAGACCACTTGAAATAAATGGTTTAGTATCACATTAACCACAGTAGCTTTTTCGTGGATCTGACATGCATCCTTTGCACCATAGGTTTCTTTAGGGATTTCTAATCGTTTTGATAGTCGGAAAACGTATTACCGACAGATTTATGGTTTTGTTTTGAATCAAGTGGATTAAACGAAATGAGTATGCTCTACACCTGCTGAGGAAGCTTAGACAAAAGGAGCTGTCTAGATAGACTAGCCAGTGAACTTTGACATTCGTAGTAACATTTCTGACTTCCTTTGTTGTCCTCAATACTGTGGGGAAGTGAGCACGTGGATTGCAACATCTTGCACTTGGATGTCGACTCCTGCATCACAGGATCAAGCTATGGTGTCATCAGAAAAGGTTAGTATAAGTTGTAGAGTGGAATATGAGCTTATATTCTGGCAACTGTAATGTGTGTTCACATCATTTAGAAACATCACAACAAATGAAGACGTGAACAAAAGATGTTACAGCAAGGAGGCGACTCACAGAATATTTTTTGGTGCATTGCATCATACTGAGGTTTACCAATGACGATCATTAGTATCGATAAAGAGTTTACTTACGTCGGATGGAAATGGCATGGCATTCAGTTACCACTTAGGTCACACTATATAGTCAGTATTACCATATAATAGTATCCAGGTACTGTGTTCAAGTTTACGGCTGCTTAAAGCAAATATGATCTCATTTAGGAAATATGGTTTGGGAAAAGACTAGGGAAATAACTAGCAGAAACACGGATTCATGACCAGTCCATGGCGTGCAAGTGCTTACTTTGTGTCAGTTTTTCTCTTCAACATGAAACGTACCAATAAATCACATGTTTTCCTGTCTTCTAAGACAATCATTACCGAGAAAACTCTGTAAAAGTTTACAGTCCACAACAAATAACTTGTCATATAACCAGCGACTTTCCCGCCGAATCGTCAACGAATGTATCTATTTACCTCGAAACGTTATTAAGGCCCTATTCGTCGACGCACTCAAAAAAGCATATTAAGACTCAGCAAAGTTTCTTTTGCCTCACGCTGCTATCATCAATCAATGTTAAGACATGGACTAAACTTTTCCGCAAACACTAACTCTCATTAACTGCCATGGTGCTGATCCCGTGAAACAGATTTATCCATACATGTGTCGGCAAAACCTAAAGGTTTTCTTCATCCAGATAGTCAGAACAAGCACTAAAAATGATCTGTAGGATGAACTGAAGAGTTAATGAATCACAAGAATATTGTTATTTGTATCGTGAAAAAGATATTGGATATTGGATCTTTCGGATTAGTTTTCGCGCGGATTACCAACAAGAAACCAACCTGAATGTGATTGGCTTTCTCAGACTTCTCTGAAACACGGTAATTTATTCGGTACTTTGACTGTTAATTTTCATACTAGTCAGAATCACTATAGTTCGGTAACTTTAGGTTTCAAGGTTCTTATCTGAAATCGAAGAACTACTTGTTAGTTTCAAACCGTATGCCTTAAAAAGCACAAATTTATGTTAAGCAACATAACTTGTATTGAGCACGTAATAAATCTTGCTGTTGCCAATCGTCGGTTGTTGCGATAATAAATCATGTAAACTTATGCTTCAATCCTTACTTGGATTTTGTCAGATGTCTTGTTGAATGGTTCCTTAATCGCTGTTAGTCTTCCTAGTGTTTTTTCCGTATTTGATAATCCAAGGAATTATACATTCTGGAATTAGATCCCGTATACTGCTTATTTGCTGTTAAAAATCTCCCTAGAATATAATCAACTGTTCTTAAGCTTTTAATCTCCCTTTCTGTGTCCTGAGTTGATTGGAAGGAGAACAGAAAATTCTGGGTGTAAAATCAATTCTGAGTGTCCTTTAAATCACAAACAGTCCATTTCTTAATGTTCAAGGTCTAACACATAGGAACATCCGAGATACTCAAAAGGACTCCCAAATCTCATGAGTAGCGGTCCCCTGAACTGTGTACAGATTATCTAAACTGACTTTTTTTTTACACTTTTTTTATTTCCTTCGCTTTCTTCTCGATGTCATGCTCAAAGTAATTTAGTTCACATTGTTCAAGGTGTATCTGTGCCGTCAATGATTCAAATTCGGCTTGTTAACGATGAACAAATAGCACTAAGATCCAAAAACAAGTACTTCCTACTGATTATTTCAAAGCACTTAATAATAGCTTATAACTTTTTTTCTTGGTTCAGACTTACATTATTAATACTCCTTACAAAAATAGCAAGATTATGCACTTGATTTTAGTTACGCAAAATACTCTATAGAATGAAATATTTCATCAGTTTCAACTGAGCAAAAACTTTAATAATAATATAATACGTGTTACGACATAGTTGTTTACGTGCTTATTTTAAAATTCTCAATTTAGATGGACATTGTTGAAATGCTACTTTCGCAATTTCCTAATCCACAACATCCATATGTTGCTAAATGTGGTGCCTGTACTTGGAAAGCATGTCAAAAATGGGATTTATGTTATCTTTCAAGGAAAATAAAAAGTAGTTTAAAATTTCGTTTGGCTAAAAAAGAAAGTATCGAAGTACAATGGGGAACATCTTGTCCATTTGTTAATGCAACATTAACAGAATTTAATGAATGGATAAATGGAGTAGACAATACAAATAATCCTTTTTCTAAGTATCCTAAAGAATTATGGTGGGCTTATGCAGATTATATAGATATGAAAGAGTCATCTAAATTTCAAGAAATAATCAAAGATTTATCATTTCATGAATTATTTCCATTTATGAATAATAATAATAATATTCGTCCAGTCATTTGGTTTGGATCATCTAAATCTCATACTATTTGTCATCGTGATACATATGGAGTTAATTTAGTTGTACAAATTAAAGGTTCAAAACGTTGGATATTATTTCCACCATCAGATAATTCATATATGTATGAAACTCGTTTACCTATAGAAGAATCTACTATATATAGCAAAGTTAATTTTGCATCCCTCAATTATAAAAAATATCCTCTTATATTAAAAACAACTCCTTATCCTATAACACTTTATCCAGGAGATGTACTTTTTGTTCCAAAAAATTGGTGGCATTTTGTTGAATCATCATGTGAATATGATTTTACTTGTTCAGTTAATGTATGGATTGATATACCTTTACTTGATAATAAAGAACGATTTAAAGAATGTCTAACACAAATAGTAGGCTTCTCTTTAATATCTAGTTATCATCATACTAATCATCAAGCTTTGCTATATCGCACTGAACTAATAACATATGAAAATGAATTCTGGTTTAATATTCTACTACATTATTTACGTGTAATTTCTCAACAACTTATCACTGGATTTTGTTCATCTTATAAAACTGGAGAAGAAAATGTAAATGAATCCAAAAGAGAACGAATTAAATTTTCTAATATAAACAATTGGGAACCATTACTATCAGATAAACTAAACAATTTATTTACTATTTCAGAAGAAAATCCTATATCTGTTAATACTACTGTGAATAATACTATTAGTTTTGAACAAGTTCTTGATGCTTTCATGAAACCGGATGTAATTGATTTGGTTGCAAAACATCTTGAAAATGTTTTGGTTAATAAAGATTTATAATTAAAATTGTTTTGATTTAGTCCCTTTCTATTTGTTAATTATATAAATATATTTTTTTAGTAAGAAAATTGTTCTAACAATCTTTATTTTCTCTTGTTTATTTTACTAATTATTTGTTTCAGATATATACCTATATATAAATATTATTGGATAAAATTACTCTTTGATTGTGTTGTACAAATGCAAACATGTTCATTAAATTCGAAAATTTTATTAAAATTACGATGTCGAAATCGTACTGGACAGTATATACTGAATGATTTAACTTCAAATTCAACTATTCATGATTTATTAAAAACAATTATTTCAATTCTAGGTGTTACACAACAATCTTCTATATCAGTTTATTATGGATATCCTCCTGTGAAATTGGATTGTAGTACTGGAAATATTGATAAACAACTTTGCGAGGTTAGTTGTGTAAAACTTTTCAGGGAAAAAAAAATAACCGACTCACCTATATACCAAACAGAGTATTATTAATACATTAAATATGTGTATATATATGTATATATATCTATATCTTGAATAATATTTTCTAACCATAGTCCCTCCGATTACTGCTAATACTTCTACTACCTGTACTACTACTATAGGGTTTGAATTGGAAATTGCGTCTCTACTAATATGATATGTTAATTTAAACTGATGTACGTACGTACGTACGAAGTTCTACGTTGTAGCTGACTGAACGACTGACTAAGAGAGAGAGAGAGAGAGAGAGAGAATAATACTGTTATTGCTTATTATTGTATTTAAACACAGAGGCACCTAAATATTATTGGACATGTGTGTGAGATGGGATGCTTGCCGAGCGTCGAAATCAAAGCAAGTGGTTTTCGTAGGCTGCCACTCCCTAGGCCTTTAACCCAAAAGTCTAATCCGCTAGACAGTGAAGCAACCTTAAGAGACGAAATCCCAAGGTATCAGGTGACCAACAACAGGTTCATACGCCATTTGTCTCCTCAGGATCCTTTAGCCTATGTGCACCATTGGTTTGGAGTCAGGGTTTTCTAACTCCCGTAGATAAATCCCTTGTACCCATCAACCTAGTTCAAGCGCCGAAAATCGTCTTTTCGTTCACTCGATTTCGTAAATAACACTTCTTCCTTGAGAAGGCAGTGAGTAAGACTTCCTTCGTGGTAGCTTTATACGCGTGTTCATATGTGCATTTTTCGAGAAGCTGGCTCTCTCCACTCTTGCCCGTAACAAGGCATTTGAGGCAACTTTATTATGTAGAACGTTTCACTTAACATATATAAATGGCTCATTTAACTGTCAGTCTTAAATATCCGATATTTGAAAGTACCTATTATCAAATGCACCGAATAATATTGGTTTGACTTTTGCCAAGGTTTTCAAGAGCAATTATTATCTACCGGTTACATGCTTACTTATTTACTTACTTGAGCCTGTTACCCTTAATGGAGTATGGACCACCGACCAGCATTCTCCAGCCTACTTTGTCATGCGCTTTTCTTTGTAGTTCTGTGTCCGATTATCCTCCATTCTTCGCATATGTTTCCAGTTTTTGGCGCAATTTGTTCTTTAGCTATCCACTTTTCCCTTGGCCTAGAAGACTCCAAGTGAGGGTTTGTCTTCTGACGCAGTTTGCTACTTTTGTCAATGTGTGTCCTATCCTCTGCTGGAATCTGGTTTGTTCTCTCCCTCAGTAGGTGGTTGCTGATGGTGTCTGGCCAACGGATCCGAAGTATCAACTGTTAATAAATACTTGTATCTTCGGGATGATGGCTTTTGTAGTTCTCCAAGTTTCTGCCCCATACAGTTGAACTGTCTTGACATTTGTATTGCGAAATCTAACTTCGGTGTTAGATGATAGTTGCTTTGAGTTGCAGATGTTTTCGTTTGTAGAAATGCTGCCCTTGGCTTGGCGATCCGCTCCTTCACATCTGCATCAGATCCACCGTGCTCTTCAATGATGCTGTCCTGATATATAAAGGCTTTTACACCTTCCAAAGCTCCGTCAAGTGTGATTTGGTTTGTGCATTTCGTATTTTATCGGGGAATCTTGCTTTTCCCCTCGTGTATGTTGAGACCTACTACTGCAGATGCTGCTGCTACATTGATCATGTTCTTCATTTTTTGTTACGTGTGGGATATAAAGGCTAGATCATCTGTGAATTCCAGACTGTCCAGCTGCATCCTGGCTGTCCATTGTATAACGTGCTTCTCTCCAGATGCTGACGTTTTCATAATGCAGTTGATTATCAGGAGTAAGCAAAAGGGTGAGAGTAAGCAATCTTGCCTATCACTCTTAATATTAACTAACCTCTTACGCCAACTACCTATAGTCTATATATTTTCCGCTCATATCTTCCTCTCTCTAATACAGTCATGCTCTTATGATATCATTTCACAGCTCCAACTTCAGTATAGAGTTAATGAGAGTTCTGTCGTCTTCTCCCTTGCCCATTAACTAAAGTAAGAATTGTCAGTTTGTGCTACCAAAGAAGAAAATCAGTTTCTGTGTGTTTTAGTCTCCTCCACTCAATCAAAACACTTGTTGTGAAGCCCAGTTCTGTGGAGGTGGATATTCAATGTATTCCTAAACTCCATACAAATCGCTGTCCTGATGACCGTGATTAGAAAAAAACGAGAGTCGTTGTCACAATTCACTTTATTATTCACAAAAACATATAATGATCAATACAATTATCGGATTTATTACAACACTGGTAGAATGATGATGTGCGTAGGTGGTAAGCAATACTCAAACGTGCACGTGCATACAAGCTTAGCCATATTAAAAGTACAAAATGTATATGTGAGGTGCTACAATAGCTCTCCACCCCTCCCCATCATATAGATATACCTAAGTGTATGTTTGCGAAAATAAAGGAGTTAAACGTAAGGAAACAACGATACAGTAATTTACGGAATGAAAATGTTAGACAAAATTATTGTGTAAGTTGTTACAAGTACATGGAACTATGAGATAGTGTATGTTAGTGATGTCGGATAATAATCGAAGTTCAAAAGAATACAGCAATGTGTTCAGAAGATTATACGCCTTTTGATTTTGACCAATTTGTTCTCGTGTGCTGTTACGGGTATGAGGGCGGTTGTCACTTCCCGGCTACCCACACCGTGAAAGGTTGTTTCTTGAGGAACCTGAAAGGGAAGGTAGATTAGTGTTGGTCTGAACGACCTGCGAGCGTGACCGCAGAGCCCAATGGACAACTGCTTGAGGCCGGTCACGCACGGCCTTTTTATGAGAAGTTCTTTGAGTGTTAGCTGCGCTCTTGAAAGCCCTTAGTGGGCACCCTTACTACCGGATACGGAAATCCGTGAGGTAAGGTGAGGTGTGACATTTTTAGGGTCGACCTTTTCTAATCCTTCCTTCCTTGTGAGAAGGCGGCATCGCTGCAAATGCCGGTTGTCCGAGGGAAACACCTTACTGCTGTCACACCCCTCTACAGTCAGCAGTACGACTTCGCCGTCAGACCTTGGGTAGCTGCTTTTAGTCTCATTGTTCTCCAATCGACCTGTCTGGCATGGTAGAACCTTCAGGAACATATGTTTCAGCCAATATAGTCAGTCAGTCAGTCAGATGCAACGTAGAACTTTGTACATAAGTACATCAGTTCATGTTGCCATACCACATCAGCACAGAGAGGTAATCGTCAATTCAAATCCAATAGTAGAAGAGGTAGTAAGGGAATTAGAAATAATCGGAGAGGTTAGGATTAGAAGATACTACTCAAGAAGTATGATTCAGTGAGAAAAGTTTAGGAAGTCAAAACTAGAGGGGTTGAAGAATCCAGAAGATTAGCATTTGAGAGAACACAGAGAATAAATGCACTGGCGCCATTGCGAACGATTTTGAGCCATGTCATTCAAGGTCTCTAACCATCGATTATTATCATCTCGCGGACCCCAACCAGGTAGTCGACAATTACCGACATGGCTAAGTCCACTTGTCAGTGACTTCATGGATTTGTGCCATGTTTTGGTTTGGCCGCCCCTAACTTTCTTCCAACCTATTCCCACACTACAAAACAAGGCTCGACGAGGCAGCCGGTGGTTCGGCATACGCAACACATGTCCCAACCACCTCGACTGATGAAGTTTCAATACTTCATCGATTGATCTGCCATTCTTACCTAGCACCCGATTCCTAATAACAGCGTTGCTCACTCGGGTGTCCCACGATATACGAGCAATGCTTCGAAGACACCTATGATCGAAAACCAGTAACCTACGAATATCTTCTACTCTCACTGGCCATGTTTCACAGCCATATAGGAGAACGGAGCGAACTGCTGCACAGTACACTCGTCCTTTGATTAGAGAACGGATATCACGCCTACGCCATAAGTGACGCAGGTTAGAAAAAGCCAATCGAGCCTTCTGTATCCGAGCTGAGATTTCGTCAGTCACCAGGCCATCGGCACTGATGAGACTCCCAAGATAAGTGAAGCGGTCGACACGCTCGACTACTTCACTCCCTATCACTAGTTCAGGTACCGATGCAACCCATTCTTGAATTAACATTTTGAATTTCGAGGGGGAAAACCGCATCCCAAACATGCTTGCATTATTGCTTAGGGTAGTCAGAAGACTCTGCATTTTGTCAGCATCTTCACCAAGTGGGACAATGTCATCGGCATATTCTAAGTCAATAAGCGAGCCACCTGGTAGAAGGTCTGCTGCAGAAAATTCAGATGAGGACAATGTTATGTCTAGGAGCATGTCTATGATAAAATTAAACGAGAATGGAGAAAGTGGACATCCCTGACGGACACCACTTGATGTAGAGAATTCCGGTGACAGTTCGCCATAAGCCCTCACTCGACCAGTGGTGTTCGAGTAAAGAGCTTGTATAAGGTTAATGTACTTCTTTGGTACACCTTTCAATGACAGACACTGCCACAGAACCTTACGATCAACAGAGTCAAATGCCGCCTTAAGGTCTAGGAAAACAACTATTGTAGGACGCCTAAATGTGTGTCTATGTTCCAGGACCTGTCTGAGTGTGAAGACGTGGTCTATACAGCCACGTCCAGGTCGAAAACCAGCCTGGTTTTCTCGAGTCTGCTCTTCACGAGCTTTCGTTAAGCGTCGAAGTATTATTGAGGCCAATATTTTAGATACTATATTAGTTAGACTTATTCCTCTGTGATTGTCACAAGAAGACTTTTGTCCTTTCTTATAGATTGGGACAATCAAGGATTGAGACCAGTCGGATGGGATTACGTCCAGTTCCCAGATTTTACCTAAGATCTCAGTCAATCTAGCTGCTAAAACTGGACCACAATCCCTGAATATCTCAGGGGTCAGTCTATCAGGACCTGCAGCTCGTCCTCGTTTCAGACTTCCTAACGCTTTCTCAACGTCATTAAGACTAGGGGGACTTACGTCGATTTGCCATTCAGGATGACTGGAGATCG